GCGAGTTACGTGAAATGGAACTTTGGTCCATTTATTACTCCATTACTTTATGTTTTCGTTGCACTTTTATTATCCAACTTGTCAGTTCGACGATCGATCTGACGTCTCAGTTGGAAAATTGTGAAAACCCGCACGAGCGTTCAACTTCAAAACCGAGAATTGAATAGCTTCGAGGGCTCGCCTGGATGACGTCACGTGGTCGATGCAAAACCTGCGACCATCTCGCCGAGACGTCATTTCAAGGCAGCCATTGAATCGCTCGGGATAAAGAGCAAAAAACGAGAGCTGTTTCCTCGAATCTTGCGCAAAACTTAATATTCCGCGTGAACCGTAGCAGCGCATAGAAATCAGGCTCGCCGCAGCACGGCGTACGTACTCCCCTCGTTTCGTTTTACTCTTTCAGTAGCCAGCCGTGGAAACGTATGCGCATATTTTCGCGCGGCAACGCCATTAGTCAGACGAGGGCGCGATTTAAAAGAACGTTGCCGATATCGCGGCGAACCGGGGAGGGTCTCGATGGCGAACCCGTTCGATTAAATTACGAAGCAGTTTGATTTCCCAACCTCCCCCCTCCCCCCCCCCCTCTTCCACATACACCCCTCGTAATTAATTATCCGACAAAATTTCATTATTGGAAATAAATTCGATGGAGAGGGGAGAGCGCGACAGTTTCGATTCTAAACATTCTGCAGCCGACCCGTTCGTTGCACAGTTTGCCGTATTGTGCCGCACGACACGTGACCTACACGATAAACATGCTCGCGAAAGAACGGCCGTACTTTGTCGAACTGGGAGGGTGGTTTCTACCCCCCCGCATGTCGTTGTCACGATTGACTTTCAAAGAAGACGGAGTGTTACTCGATGAAACACCGGCGTTTACAGGGTCGTTTCCTCCGATTCGTTAGCATATCCACATTTATACGACAACTCGTATAAATATTTATACGCATCACCGGCTGGGAAAAAGTTTCGACGGCGAACGTTAAAATGTTGTTTGAACTGCGTAGATATTAGGCTACGTAAAAAAAAAAAAAAAAAAAAAAAAATAAATTCAAACTATTAACGACGAAATTGACGAGTGTCATGATATACGAATTAAGCAGTTTTGAAACTTTTTTTGTAAAAAATTTGTATCTATATGACACGCGTATTTCTGTAACATGCTCTTTGAATTATGCAATTATCACTTTCTTTTTTATACAGAAGCAAATGTTACAGTGTTAATTACAAGTCCAACATCTTTCGTAACGACAAATAAGTCTCTTAATATTTCAAATATTATTGAAACGATTTGTCGCGCTCTATCTACAATTATAATTTTACTTACTGTACTTTGTATTTTATTTATTCGCATGAATAACAAAGCACCGTGTGCCTTTATTCGACGTAAATAATTTACGCACGTCCGCTGTATTATCCTTAAAAATGTAACATCAAGAGACAAATATATTGCAATGGTGATTTCCTTGCCTAGCTCTTTCAGCGTCAACGAAATGATGATCGTGCGTGAAAAAGTATCTCGCGAGAACTCGAAGTAAAATTTTGCTTGAGGTAAAAGTTTCATAACCAATAGCCAAGGCTAAAGAAAACGAATCGTTCGGTGGAAATTTGCGTGTTAAAATCTACGGTTTCACGGAATCGTGGGATCACTGCCAATGGAAATGGATTCGCGCCAGCCGTAAATGGTACCCGTGGATCTATTCGATCACTCCGCCGCGAATAATTAATCACGCCGGGCTATAAATATCTACCGAGGCGTTGCGGTGCTCAAGACTTTCCCGCGTAGAAGCAGATACACGATTCTGTCGGAAGTTTAGCTTCCCCGGAGATACGATTGGCCACCAGGGACGCTCTCCAACGAGCGACTGGCATTAGCGATGGACATTCGAATCTCAGTTTCGAATGTTGTTTCAACGCTTCGAAAATTCGAATCGCTTCGAGTACATGCGATGCGATATCCCGATGAACGATGGTTAGTTTCCACTAAAATTGAGACGCGGATACCTGTGATATTAGTACAGTAGATCCCGCGAAATACAGGAAGATTGCAATTACAACGATCGATCGTCATTGCAAATGTTCGTCGTGCACGTGTTTAGAAGATAGAAGAAAAAAAAAAAAGAAAAAAGAAGAAGAGCTTGCCAAACGCCACGAATGCTCGAGACGTTGCATCGAGCTTCGTCAGGACCTTCGAAGAGTCTCGAGATTCGGGACTAATATCAAAACTTTCAAGATTCAAGGCCTCGAGGTAAAGAATCGTATTCAAAGCGGTACGCTTTCGTGTACTCGACGTGCTTCGCCGAGCGCGAAGAAGAAAGGGAAACGTGTGCGACGCGGTTGGTCGCGCCCACCCTCGATTTCGCTCGACCAATGCCAAAAATTTGTGAATCGCGACGGAATAAACGAGCCCGGGGGGGGGGGGGGCCACGGAAGAAGAGGGACTCGAAGGCACTCGGAATTTATTCGAAAGCAACCTCGTTACGGTGCGGCTGGCAAAGTAGGTCGCATGAAAATAGCGAGGACGTTTAAAAGCGCCTCACCGTGCGATTTAACGTCAATGGGCCACTTCTCGTTCCTCCTCCCCCACCCCCCTTTTCTCTTTCTCCGTGGACTTTCTGCGCGCCTTCTTTTTCTCGGTCGCGGCTCCCTTCCTCCCCCTATTTCCACGAGCCGCCGCTCGCGCGCGAGTTTCTTCCTTTTTGCGGGGGAGGGAACGACTCGCGACATTTAAGCCAGGAGTCGCAGCGCGACAGCGTTGACGAGCTCTTGGAAAAATCTTTGCCCGCTTTGCGCCACCAGCGAGCGAGCAAGCGAGCGAACGAACGCGAGCTTTGTGCCGGCGTTCTTCTTTTTCTTTTTTCTTTTCTTTTCTTTTTCCCCTTTTTTCGGAGAAGGATTCCTTCTCGACGGACTGTCGCCTTCTGTTTCCGCCGCGCTTTCGTGCCTCGACGCTTTGCAAGACGTTTCCCTCTGGCGCCTGCACCCTTTTCCTCCTTCTGTCCCAACCCCCTGGTTCTTAAGTTCCGTTTTCAACTCGGTTGCACTCCGCCGCGAATTCCAAGTGACGTTCGTTCCTGGGCGGTTAATTGGTCCGGCGGTTTGTGTTTGTTTAAAACGTGCCCGCGGTGGGACGACAAGTTTCGGTTTGGTTCGATTGATCTTTTTTTTAGAGAGTGTGCTCGAAAAAATGAATGGATACAGTGTATTGCACACGCCGCAGCGTGTAATCGTTGCAAATTCGGTGGGAAATTTTTGGCCGAAAAATTTCAAAACTCGTGGAAAGTTTCGTGGATACTTCTAAGATTTCGTTAACACTGTCAATGAAAGACAACAGTTATATTGGTCATGGTTGTATTGACCGAGTTTGAAACAAGTCTAAGGATACGTATAGAAACGACGAAGAAAGTATTTAACATGTATTCTCGCCTCTTTTAAAATTCTATATAGAGACGAATGACTATACAGAAAAAAAATGAAGACGAATTTTACGTAGACTCTTGGAACATCTACATCGATAGAGAAGGAAAGATGGAAATATTTGTCCAAACCAACAAATCGAACGTTGTTTCCAGAAACGTCTTGAAATATAACTAATTTCTCCTATACGAGCGGAAATACTTCGCTGCAATAGAAGAAAACAAAAATGACGAGTGTCACGAAGCGATTCCAACCACTATAGAGTTATCCACTGCGACACAGTATGCATACAGTACAGACCGCAAGAGGTTAATACGCCCAGGGTCATGCGCGATAAATATACATTCACGTGTATAAATTAATTCGACGTTCGTTTTATATATTATTTGTATCGGACGATAACTTCGCGATTGGTCATCTCTAAATACAAGCGAATTTGATATGTATCTACGGACAAAAACGCAACAGCGAACGAGGTGGTAGAAGCAATTACATTCGTTCCCAGCGCGCTCCGACGGAATTGAAAACCACGGTTTCATTTGAATTCCAACGTTAAGGTTAACACCGCTTTTTTTTTCACGGTTACGCCTGGGAATCGAATCAAATCTATCACGCTCGTGAGAGACTCCTTTGAGAAACATCAACGGGAAACGAGCGAGTTCTATTCGACAAGAGAGAGAGAGGGGGAAAGAGACGAGACGAGGGGTTAGACGTTTCACCCTCGACCTTCGTGAGAAATAGGGAGAAAGAGAGAGAGAGAGCAGGATTATAAAAGGCCGATAAAGCCGATCGTCTTTCATTACTAACGCTCTATGAGCACGTACGCGATATTTCGCCCACGAGGAATTCCGCGAAGGGGTATAAATGACTTCCGTGAAACTTACTCGCCGGCTATAGACGCTGCCGGATAACCTTCGATCGTGGCCGACCTCGATCGAACTTCCTACCCTGTGTACGGTGCCCGAAATGCCCGCAGACATTGCGCTTCCTACGACAACGTCGACCGCCAACCCTTCGCGTGTGTCCCTCTAAGTACCGTTGTCTCCATTAACCTCGCCGGAAACCGGGAGCCGGGAGTAGATTTAAAAGAACGGAACCTCGTGATTTTAAAGTTAGCTACTGCTGCTGCTGCTGCTGCTGTTGCTGCTGCTGCTGCGGTAACGATAAAATACCAAACAAGGATCGCAATGTTCTTCAACTTTTGAATTAAAGAAACCTTTGTTTGGACGAAATTTAAATTCGAACGAGCATTCGTCCAATGTGAAGTTACAGTTATTTTTTATTGACGGCAACGGCGTTGGTAATAATAGTTTCTATTAGGTCATCCTATAAATATTTCGTGATCGATGGTAATCACTCGAAAATTGCTCGTCGAAAATTGACTAGCGACTGGTGATTTTTCTACGAAACATCGTTGCATAATGGACGAATATTTTTTTTACAACTGTCTGTCTTCTCGTTATTTAAAACGCAGCACTTGGAAAAATCATTGCTTAAATAGATTTAAATGGAACTGTTTGTAAATAGATCGAACGTCAGAACAGTCGAATTCGATTTATAAAATAAATACGTAGATTATGTAGGAAATGTGGTAGCTACTCGATAATTCGATAATTCGATTACTAAATTTTAACTCAAATTTTATCGAAGTGAGAGATTTTGTCGCTCGTTTTCGTCTAAATTGCAAAAACTGTCACACTCATTTCGAAATCCTCTCTGTCCTCTCTATCTTCCACAGAGAAACAAGAGAGAGGATTATAAATAATCGAACACATCGAAAGAGAAGTTTCTAGTTTCCTAACTACCGACACACAGAAATTGGAAATTGTACGTCGATTACCATTTACGCTGAATGATCCCGAATTTTCTCGAAATCAAAAAGACGTATGTACGTACGTAGCATTTATTACACAGCAGCATTTATTATTTCGAAACAAGAAGCACCCTTCTCGCTTCGTTCCCGACAAGAAACGAGAGAAACGAGAGAACAGGAATAAATAACCAGGTACATTGACTGTTTAGAGAAAGGAGATTTTTTTGGTTTCTTGAATGCCGTGAAGGGAAAGGAAGCGGAAAGAAAAGTCTGAGGATGCTTCTCAAGCCGGTCGTATAATCCGCGAATATGAATGCAGAGCGTTGGCTGAAAGGAGCGTGGCCCATAAATTCAAGTTAATTAAAGATATCGATCGAAGTCCTCTAGCCGGAGGAATATTTTCGAGCGAGTTCTCGCGGACGAAAAGCCCGGGTTGGTTCGTTGTTTGTTCGGAGCATCCGCGACGTGGACGAAGATTAATATGTGACGGAAACGTTGGTCGGTTAATTAGCGGAAAATCGGGGACGAAGGAAAGAACGTCCGTTCATTTCTTCCTCGTTGTTCTCCTCCTCGTGGAGGGATGAAATTGAAGAAAGTGGAAAGGTATTTGAAAAGGGGGCCACGAGCAAAGAACGATGGGGGATGGTCGAGGAAGGGTGACTTACGTCCCGTGGCTTGAAAACAGGCCACTCGATTACGCGGTTGTTTCGCCACTTAAATTACCACCGCATTGAACTCGCGCCGATAAACCGTCGTTGTTGAATTAATAACTGATCCTAATTGAATTAATAATCCGCTCATCCCTCCACGGAAATTGTAAATAGCTGCTCGGTGGCTAACAAAATACGGCCAAGCTATACGTACAGTTATTGGTTCCTGTTCAATTATTGACTTCCCTTCTATCCCGCCTCTCGCCCGTCCACCCTTCCTTCTCCCCCCCCCCCCCCCCCTCCTTCTCTCCCTTCGTCGCTGTGTTCGAACGTTCTATCAAACCACTGACAGAACGAGCGTTTAAAAAAAAAAAAACGGAGAAGAAAGAGAGAGGGAAACTGTACTCGTGCCTGGTCGAACACATTTCCCCGATATAGCGAAACGTATCTCCTTTACTTAGGTTAACAGAGCGGAAGTCCAGTGACGAGAGCAAAGTACACCACGCGAAATATCGTAACGAAATTCACAGTCACGTTCGCGTGCGTTATCTTCGAGAATAAAAAGAGACCACGTTTTCTATCAGCGAATAAACACGGGGAGAGATCGAAAGACCTCCGCGACTGTTTACGAATCGTGGCTCCAGCTCGCCGAGCTAACGTCAACAAACGCGATACCACGAAAAGGTATTTGACGAATATCAAAAAAAAAAAAAAGAAACGCAGGAAAAAGGAAAAACATCAAATGCCTAAAGAAAAAGCAAACGTGTCGAAACACGTTTACAGATACGATTTATTGCGCCGCGAGATAACAAAGATAATTCCCTGGGGGGAAATTTTCTACTCACCGCTTCTGCCGGTTGGCGTCGGCGCGGACGTGGATCTTCCGGTTGGCTCCGGGATCGGGAATATCAGGTCGCAGCACTCTCTCTCGGGGAACTCGCTGGCGCGAGTGCACCTGCAGCAGCAGAAGAGCACGACGAGAGCAGCGGCGACGCTCGTCAGCAGCGTGGACCGCGCGAGCAGCGTCCCGACGACACGTGACATGACTCGCCCCATCAGATCATGGCACAGCATCGAGGACCGCCTGATCCTCCTCAGCCTCTCTGCAACGCGATCCTCTTCGACGCTGTCAACGTTGGCCGCCGGTCGGCCGCCAATCGGACGACTGAGACGAATCTCGCGGCGTCCGCGCGACATTCTCTCGTCGTCCGTCTCATCGTGCGACGTCTCCTCCACCTTCGACGCGATCCAACCGAACCCAACACTCGTCGTTGTATCCACGCCGAAATTTCCGCCGGATTCTCTCTCTCTCTCTCTCTCTCTCTCTCTCTCTCTCTTATCAATCTTCTTCGTTTTCCTTCCTCCTCTCTTGCTCGTACGAGAAGAATGACGCGCACACTTTTTCTCAAGACTCGACGACCTCCTGCTCACGAATTCTTCGCGGTCGAACACTTTCTTCGCGATAGCACCGTGTCACCGGATTCCGTGAAACTCGCACGCGAAAGCAACCCCTAAAAAGAGGATCGAAGCATCCGATCGAGACTCGATCTCGCGGGAGAATCGTCGATCGATCACACGCGAGAATCACGCGAACCTGAAACCGCGATCTTGGACGGTGTGTTTGCGATGTGTCGAGAAACGAACGAATACTCCACTGTGCCGCGATCGCGATACACGACCGATGCACGATCGTCGTGTCTGCAAGACGTATCTTGACCGTGTGTATATGTGTGTGTGTGTGTGTGTGTGTGTGTGTGTGTGTCTGTGCGTGCGTGCGTGTGCGTATGTGTGTGTATGCGTGTGTTTGTTGCGTTAAGGGAACGACCTGGCGTACGACGCGGCTGCAGAAAACGATGCGGCAAAGGTCGCGCACTCGGTCCTCGTGTCGCGTTTCGAACACACTTGGCGCGCGCGTGCTCGCCAACCGAGCGTGCCTTCGAGCCGAGACCGCGTCGCCACGGCGTCCCGACGCCCAATGACGAACCACACCGCGTTGGACGGACGGCCGCGCGACTACCACCGCCCCGCCAACCCTCTGCCAACCCTCTGCTGCCTCCTTCCGCCGCCGCCGCTACCTGTTCTTTCCATCTCTCTCGCTATCTCGCCATCCCTCCCTCCCACCCTCTTTGCCCTCTGCTCCTTCTCTCTGCCGTCACAACTTACACACGATAGTTTCTGCGCGAAAGTGTGCGCGCTCTTCGCGTTCCGAAGCCTCCGAGAGAGCGGCGTTCTCCCGCTTTCGCTCTACGTGTCCTTGCACGCGACGCTCGCTCCTCGATCGCCCTACGCTTTGCCCGAAGCTCGTGTGCGCAGACCTGCGCTGGTCTCTGCTCCCCTCTCCTCCTTTCTCACCCTCTCTCTCGACGCGTGTTTCCCTCTGTAGCCGCTCGTAACACGGCGTTCAGGTGCTCGCAAGGGAACGCACACCTGGCAGCGTGCACTGGTCTCCGGGGTGTACGCGCGAAATGCGTACCAGACTCGCGACCGCAACCCTACTGGTGGCTACTCTCGTCTGCCTTCGCATCTACGTTCACGCTCTTCCATTCTGTTCCTTCCTTCTTTCAATTTCTTTCCTTAAAAGCAGCTCTCTCTTTCTATCTGTCTATCTTTCTTTCTTCCTGTTTACTTTTAAAGCTCGAGATAAGGATACGGGAGGGAAACGAGTGAGCTATTTGTTGATTTTTCCTGTTAACTACGATGTATTCTGTTTAAAGTATCGTCAAGAGTTGGAAAAGTGGCGAAGGATACCTCTCTCTCGGCTCGCTACAGCTGGTTCTTGCGTTATCCGCGCAATTTTTTAATTGAAAATGTAATAACTGTCAGATGATCTGATCAATCACAGACTGATGAGTGAATGGTAAGATTGCAGAAACCGCGTCGCGGCGAACTTTTGACTGAGTTCAATGAGAGAGTTTCAACGTAACATTCGCACGATCGAAATTCATCAAGAAGCACCTAAAAGATCGCCAATCACTCTCGCAAGAAAGAGTTTCCATCACGTCTCATCTTAAACCGTCGTCATCGCGTCTAATTTACACGCATTTATATTTACATTCATCCGAACAAATTACATCGAGGAGATCCGAAAATTATACGAGGAAAAAATGCCCGAAAATAGAAATATCCTTCGCGGATCTCTGATGAACACCAATGTCCGCGTTTTTCCTTTCAGAAGGATGTAAGGCGCCGCCTCCTCCGGGAGTTCGGAATCGCGCGTGCAGTGGTCCATCGGATCGTTAAAAATTCCCAACGAACGTGCAACCTTCCGCGTATCAATTATTCCCATCCCGTTCCTAAGAAAATACCCCTTCTCCCGTCGATAAAGGGGGATGCCACGACGTGCGATAGGAAGGTACGCGCGCCCCACGTGGCGCGTACGACGTAGACGCGCTCGTATGCGTTGCGTGTTCCTTCGTCGTAAGTTCGCCTCAGCCCGATATCCCGATGTCCGTAGTTATTGGACCGGCGTGCACACACGTCGATCGTGTGTCGGTGTGTCGGGATCGGGCACGTATGTATGTATGTATGTACATACATACATGCATTCGAGCGTACGCCGGTGTACGGGGGCGATGCGCGTCGTGCTGCTAGCGTACGTGTCTCGATGTAACACGATTCCACGGGAGTCGGTGGAAACGACAACGTCCGAGCGAATCCGAGGGATTCCGAGCGGAGGAACATCCCCTGGCCAAGGGCCAGGTGGCCAGGCGGCCGACCAGCCAACGGCCCACCAACGACCCTCGTTCCTCGTGCGCGCCGTTCCTGACCTCGTTTCGCTCGGTTTGTCGAGGTCGGTTACGCGGAAATGCCGCGTCGCGCGCGCTCGCCAGTAGTCCATCCCTGGAAACCCTAACTTAACCCTAAACAGCGACTAAGAGCCGAGTGCTCTTTCATTGCGGTCCGTCAAACTGAAAATACACGGGGAATAATGTCGTTTTGCTTTTCTTATTCAGAGAGATTTCGTGAAATCTTTAAGGATATAACGTTAGGTCGTGAAATTAGGTCGGCGCAAGATGAAATGGCGGAGGTCGTAACGCAAGTTTCTTGAAAGTTGTGTAATATTAATCCTGCGATTCAATACGATTTTATAATCATCGCGATGATAAAGCCTTTGGCCGTGTCGAGTTCGATTTTTCGCGTTTAGATTTTCTAATTTAAATGGCTGGTACTTGTTGCTTAACCTTGAATTCGTCAAGCTTCGAGCTTTAAGCAGTATCATTTTTTAGTCGCGGGGTTCCAAATGATTTCGCCAATACCTTTCAAATATTTGCATTTGAAAAACATCGTCCGATCGAAAAATACAATGAATCTATCTCATCCAGGCCTTCAAGTAACGACTCGAAGCTTAATCCTTCCAAGGGTTAACAACCCTTAACAATCGTCACGATCGATTGTTCGCGATCCAACAACGACCTTCGAAAATTATTTCCCCGATGCGTAATGATACTTCCTGAACTACGGAGTTTTTCCACGGAGATTTGCGAGCAACAGCCGTTCGTTCTCTATTCTCGACAAGTTAAAAGCGTTGGGAGAACCAATCTACGAAAGGTCGTGAAATTTGCATGGCCGCAAAAGCAAGAGAGAGCCAGAGTCAGAGAGGCGCGTTGAAAATTTCACCGTTGCATCTCGCCGTAGCTTCTCGGCCGCGCTAATAAACGATAGCGGTCGTTAAGAATCCTGACCAGCTCGTTAAGAGACCTCCGCCGATGAATATGAATAGCAAACAAATTGACAAAGTCGAAGATAGACGGACGGTGGTTCGTCGCGATGGCGAGGAACCGAGCGTCTCGTTCGACTCGATATTTTCTGCCAGTTGGCTTCGACCGAGTCAAAACGTTATCAATTAGGAAGGATGATTACTGGAATTCAACTGGCGACGAACGATCGAGTCGCGTCGCACAATACACGCGGGGCAAACAGTATTATCAATTCTCATCGCGACGTTCGGAAAATCCGATATTCAAGTCCGCCGATCAGAAAAACGTGGCCGGTTGCCGTGCGGTCCGTGTTTCTCCCTCGCATAATCGCGATTCGATTGGCCACGTTAAATAGAACCGAACTAATATTGACGTGTAATATTAATCGAGTTTTACGACTGCACGCGAGCGTAATTATTTCGTTCGGGGCGGACGCCCGCGTCCTGCAGCTAAATCACCCACGAGACTTTTACCCGCTTGAATTTGTTGCGAAAAATCTCTGTACCAGAAGAATCGCTCGACAAGAGGTTTTGACGTGCCATGTAATAATTTTTTTATTTTATATGTAGTCAAAGATCAAATTAAGCAGTGATCGTTGCTTCAGAAACATAAAAAAAATTTTCGCTCGCTTTATTGTTTCAGAGAGCAAAATATATATATATGTATATGTATTATGCAACTATCTTTTCCGTTACTGTGAAATAAAGTAATTAATCAACGACATTTCTACACATTATTTAATAATTTTCACAAGCTTTCTATTATGATTAAACAATTAAATTTATTTCGATAATTCGTTTATCTTAAATACACTGCTCGAGTCGATTGTTATAAATTATTAGTTAAAATTTAGTGACGCTGCGGTGCAGAACCTGCCTATATTGATATGATAGAACGTGAAGACACGAAAATGATACGGGGGTCAATTTGAGTACCCCAAAAAACATGGGACACGAAGAAGCATTGGTCTGTCTTAATTAGTCAATCTTTATACAATGTGACTGTTTCTTCGTGTCACGTAAAGACGATAAATGGCAAAAACCGACAAGGAACAAAGTCACGAAGTCCTCGTACGTCAATGAATCGCAGCGTGTTGCCGGATTTCGAAAGGTTTCACTGACGAAGCCGAATCGGCTGGCTGGAGCCAGTGGTACGAGCGCGCCACTGGTCAGACGAGACTGGTGCATTCGATAGTGGTAGAAGTCGGTGGATGGCCGAGCCTGGACCACGTTGGTTACAGACCGAGTCCGAGTCAGCACTTATGCGAATAATCAACCAAGGGCTGCAAGGGTATACGGCCGAGGGGTAAAGCGCATAAAGAGAACTTTATTCGACGTTAATTGCCGTGTAATTTGTTAGGGAAAGTTAATGAGTCCCGGCAAAGGTCGAGGATGAGAACTTGAGATTGCTGAACCGCGTGAATTACTCGTTGCCGGAGAATCGTCGAGCGAGTCGAGAGTCGAGAGTATTCGATCGTTTGAGACGAAGAACATCCGTCGCGCGACTTTCGAAGGACATTTACTCGGAAAACATACAGCGAGAGACCTCGAAAGAAGGTCACGCGATACGATCGTGCAATTGTGACGTAAGAAGCTTGCTCGCCAAATTCAGTGATTTAATATATAAGCATCGGCGAACACCAGGTGCGTGATTTACAGCGACCACGATGAATTTCGAGTCGTTGAAATGCCTGGCCCCGAAATCGTTTCCGTTTCGACCAAAGTTGTTTCGCTGAACGGAAGCGAAGACTTTGCTAGTGACTCGAGCGACGATCGATCGAACGGCTTAAAAGTGAAGAATTATTCATTTATTCATTCGATATAAACGTGTCAGTTTCCTTCTTTTTTTTTTTTTCATACGTAAGTGACATGCCGCAAGGTATGACAACAACTATAAAATAGTTAGACTGATCCAGTTAGATCTAAAGAATCTATAGGTAGCACCTGGACTTATTTCCCAGTTTGATCATTAATTTATAATTTCGTCAATTTATTTCGATATATCTAATCTTGTACATTTCGTTCCGATTATTGGTTATCTGAT